TTCATTGACTGCTGAAGTCCCAGCATAGATAATGTAGTCCTTCTGTTTAGCACTGCTAAGAGCAGATCCATTTCTTTATCAGGTGAAAAGGAGATGGAAAGGGAGTTGAGGGGCTAGTGAAGAAGTGAAAATGAAAAGAAATGAGGAACACGTCCTGTGCTTCACAGCCTTTTTTTTTTTTTTTTGGAAAGTACAAACCTGGAGAGTTTATATTATTTCTAGTTTTACTTCCTTCACAGTCTTAATTAGTACTGTTCCTCTGGTTGAAGGGCAGGAGGAAAGGACCCTTTCAGTCTCCGCTTTGGACCCCCCATCCCAGTGTGTCTCTCAGCAGTCTAGTTATGCTGGTGAGATGGGGGGCATGGTTTGGTGACACGATCACTGGATGTGGGAATAGGACACCGGGTTTTAGACCTGTCTCTCTAACCAGCTAACAGGCTCTTGGGATGTGGGTGGGAGGTGGGGAGGGGAGTGGCCATGATTTGTAGTATTTGTTAACTCCCATGAATATTTCCAACATAACCAATTTCAGGGTACTAGCATGATGCCAGTGAACCTAGAGTCATGAAGAGATGCTTAGTGGCACATCATTATGTAATATTGCCACCATACAGATGCAGTAGATGGAAATAACCCCAAGAATCCAGATAATAAAATGTAGTAAAATAATTAGAAAATGATGAGCTCCCAGTATTTCTTACCTATGTGTTTGCATTTGTGTGTGTGTGTGTGTGTGTCTGTGTGTTCATATTAGCTAAATTTTATTGAATTACCACTCTGGGTCAGTTTGTTTTTTCCATTGAGGTATAACTAACCTAGAATAAACAGTACATATTTAGGGGCACCTGGGTGGCTCAATCAGTTAAGTGTCTGACTTTGGCTCAGGTCATGATCTCAGGGTCCTGGGACTGAGCCCTGTATTGAGCTCCACATCAGCCTCCACACTCAGCTCAGGGTCTGGCTTATCCCTCTGCCTCTCCCTCTGCTCGTGCTCTCTCTCAAATTATTTAAATAAAATCTTTAAAAAAAAATAAACAGTACATATTTAAAGTGTACACTGTTGGGGGCGGCTGGCTGGCTCATTTGGTGTAGCATGTGACTCCTGATCCTGGGGTTGTAAGTTCAAGCCCCATGTTAGGTGTAGAGATTACTTAAAAAATAAAATCTTTAAAAAAATAAAGTATACACTGTGATAATTTTTAACATATGTATTGATGAAACCATCAACAAAATCGAGACGGAGAATATATCCATCATCTCCAAGTGTCTTTGTGCCCTTTTGTAATCATCCCTTTCCTGTTCTTCCTGTCCTCTATTCCCCAGGCAACCACTATCTGCCTTCTGTCACTACAGATTAATTTGAATTTTATAGAACTTTATATAAGTAGAATGATAAGTATGTATCATTTGTTATCTTGCTTCTTTCACAGCCTAATTATTTGGAATACATCCATTTTGTATATGTCAACAGTTTATTCCTTTTTATTGCAGAGCAGTATTCCATTGTATGAACATACCATAATGTGTGTATCCACCCACCTATTGATGGATGTTTGGGTTGTTTCTATCCCAAAGTTCAGTGATGCTCTTTTCATTAAAAAAAAAAAAAAAAAACTTCTTGGGCACCTGGGTGGCTCAGTTGTTTGAGCGACTGCCTTTGGCTCAGGTCATGATCCTGGAGTCCTGGGATCGAGTCCCGTGTCAGGCTCCCTGCTCAGTGGGAAGTCTGCTTCTCCCTCTGACCCTCCTCCCTCTCATGCTCTCTCTCTCTCTCTTATTATCTCTCTCTCAAATATATAAATAAAATCTTTAAAAAATAAAAACAAATGAATAAATTAAATTAAATTAAAAAAATCTGCAGTGAAGGAAACAATCAACAAAACTAAAAGGCAACCTTTGGAATGGGAGAAGATACTTGCAAATGACATATCTGATAAAGGGTTAATGTCCAAAATATATAAAGAACTTATAAAACTCAACCCCCCAAAAACAAATAATCTACTTAAAAAATGGGCAGGAGTCATGAATAGACATTTTTCCAAAGAAGACATACAGATGTCCAATAGACACATGAAAAGATGCTCAACATCACTCATCATCAGGGAAATACAAATCAAAACTACAATGAGATATCACCTCACACCAATCAGAATGGCTAAAATTAACAACACAGGAAACAACAGGTGTCGGTGAGGATGAAGGGGAACCCTCTTAAACTGTTGATAAGAATGCAAACCAGTGTAACCACTCTGGAAAACGGTATGGAATTTCTTCAAAACGTTAAAAATAGGGGCACCTGGGTGGTTCAGTGAGTTGAGCCTCCAACTCTTGGTTTCAGCTCAGGTCATGATCTTGGGATCCTGGGATCTGGCCCCATGTTGGCTCCATGCTCAGTGGGGAGTCTGCTTCTTTACCTCTCTCTCCTTCTCCCTCTGCCAGCATGCAGAGGGAGCATGCACGCACACTCTCTCTCAAATAAATAAATAAATCTTAAAAAAAAAAAAGTTAAAAATAGAACTACCCTATGATCCAGCAATTGCCCTACAAGGTATTTACCCAAAGGATACAAAAATACTAATTCAAAGGGATACATGCACCACGATGTTTATAGTAGCATTATCAACAATAGCCAAATTATGGAAAGAGCCCAAATGTTCATCGACTGATGACTAGATCAAAAAGATGTGGTATATACAGACAATGGAATATTACTCAGCCATAAAAATGAATGAAATCTTGCCATTTACAACAAAGTGGGTGGAACTAGAGAGTATTACACTAAGTGAAATAAGTCAAAGAAAATACCATATGATTTCACTCCTATGTGGAATTTAAGAAATGAAACAGATGAACATAAGAGGATAAAAAAAGAGGCAAACCAAGAAACAAATTCTTAACTACAGAGAACAAACTGATCGTTATCAGAGGGGAGGTGGGTGTGGGGAATGGTTAGATAGGTGATGGGAATTAAGGAGGGCACTTGTGATGAGCAGCGGGTAATGTGTGGAAGTGCTGAATCACTATATTGTACACCTGAAACTAAATTTACACTGTATGTAAAAAAAGAAAGAAAATTCTTTTTACTCTTTGGGTTTCATGGTAGACCATTTCTATTGCTATGTATTGAAGTTCACCAATGTTCTGTCATGTCTAATCAGCTGTTAATATAATCTAGTGTGTTTTCATCTCAGACATTGTAGTTCTCATCCTAGAAATTCTATATGGGTCTTCCTTTGTAACTCCCAAGTTTCTACTTAAATGTTGAATACATGGAATATAGTTAAAATAAATAATAAATAATATAGTTAAAAACAAGTAAATAATACAGTCAAAATAAATAAAATACTGTTTCTTCTGTTAATTGTAACCTTTGTATCTGTTCTGAGTAGGTTTTAATTGATTTCTCTTCTTATGGCTCCTTCTTTCCTGCTTCTCTGCATTCCTGGTAATCTTAGATTGGATACTGTAAATTTTACTTTGCTGAGTGCTGCATATTTTTATATTTGTATTTTCTTGAGCTATTTCTGAGTAGTTGTTACTTGAAAACAGTTTGTTTCTTTTGGGTCTCAATTTTCAGATTTCTTAGGGTGGGGCCAGAGCAGCATCTCATCTAGAGTTAATTATTCCCCACTACTGAGGCAAGACCCCTCTGAGTATTGTACCCAAATTATGAATTTTTCCAGCTGGTGGGAACAGGCACTATTTCAGATCATGTGTGAGTCCAGAATACTATTTTCCTCTAATCCTTTCAGATAGTTATTTGGAAGGCCTCAAGAGATTTCCTTAATGCGTGTGTTGATAGTACTCGGCAGAATACCCTGGAGGGACCCTATAGAGCTCTGAGGTGCTTTCTCTCTGCAGGTCTCTCCTTTCTGGTACTTTGTCCTGAGAACTTCAGCTGCCTTGGTTTTCCTGGACTCTCAGCTCTGTCTCCTCAACTTAGGGAGTCCTGGCCTCTGCCCACATTCTCCCCCTTCGCTCCTGGCCCAGAACCTTTCTCAAGGAGGTGAGCTGCGGGCAACTGTTTCTCATCTCTTAGAGATCACTGTCTTTTGTTACCTGATGTCCAGTGCCTTGAAAATTGTTTCATGTATTTTGTTGGAGTCTTAAAATTTTTTTTTCAGGTGGACATGTAAATCTATCTCCTATTACTTCATCTTGGCTGGAGGCAAAGGTGATTACCTTCATTTTTAATATAATTTATTTCAGTATAAGTGTACACAATTTAATCTTTAATGATGGCCGTGTAAATTACGTGGCTACAAAATTCCTGAAAATTTAGCAACTGACTCTCACAAGCCGGTATAGGGTAGCACACCTCTGTTTGAGCTTTACTTTCTGCAACAATTGACAAAGACATTATTTTATACAATTTAAGATTACTTCTAGTTAATCAAGTCTAAATTCCATGGCCTTAAGAAGAACAACTCTGGTCAGAGTTATTCAGTAATTTTTAAAAACAAAGCAAATAAAATAAAACTAATAAATTCTTCAGGATTCAGACTCAGGATTCAATGAACTATACTACTCCATTCAATAGTCTCCTGTCTTTATGCAGCCCAAATCATGTTTCTAGCCCAGGCCTGTCATCTCTAGACTAAGAACTTACTGTAACTGGTATTTTTGTTTTTAATCTTCTTCCTCTTCAATTCCATCCTCCCTGGCATCAAGGGAATGAGCTTTCTAAAATCACAGCCTTGATCAGGTGTTTCACATTACCTGCAGGATGAAGCCCAAGTTCCTTAGGATATACACAGCCTCTGCAAACAAACAAACAAACAAACAAACAAAATAGATAAATCACACCCAAATCTTTTTCCCCTTGGTAGTATTATACATCACACCCACCTCATGTCTTCATGGAGGCATTTTGTGCTTTCCCACTCTTTGGCCTTTGATTTGACATTGTGATTGCTTTGGCCAATGGGATGTTAGGAATGTGACATGAGCAGAGGTTTGCACTTCTGCCATCACTATAAGAACATACCTGATACCCCTCACTCGCCTCCGACGGCCTGCCTCACGGTCTGCACGCTCTGCCGCTGCCCCACAGAAATGCTTCGATTACCCGCAGTCCTTCGCCAAATTAGGCCAGTGTCCAGAGCACTGGCTCCTCATCTCACTCAGGCCTATGCCAAAGACGTAAAATTTGGTGCGGATGCCCGAGCCTTAATGCTTCAAGGTGTAGACCTTTTAGCCGATGCTGTAGCCATTACTATGGGGCCAAAGGGAAGAACGGTGATTATTGAACAGAGTTGGGGAAGTCCCAAAGTAACAAAAGATGGTGTGACTGTAGCAAAGTCAATTGACTTAAAAGATAAATATAAAAATATTGGCGCTAAACTTGTTCAAGATGTCGCCAATAACACAAATGAAGAGGCTGGGAATGGCACCACGACTGCTACTGTCTTGGCACGCTCTATTGCCAAGGAGGGCTTCGAGAAGATTAGCAAAGGTGCTAATCCTGTGGAAATCAGAAGAGGTGTGATGTTAGCTGTTGATGCTGTAATTGCTGAACTTAAGAAGCAGTCTAAACCCGTGACAACCCCTGAAGAAATTGCTCAGGTTGCTACGATTTCTGCAAATGGAGACAAAGAAATTGGCAACATCATTTCCGATGCAATGAAAAAGGTTGGAATAAAGGGTGTCATCACAGTAAAGGATGGAAAAACACTAAATGATGAATTAGAAATTATTGAAAGCATGAAGTTTGATCGAGGTTATATTTCTCCATACTTTATTAATACATCAAAAGGTCAGAAATGTGAATTCCAAGATGCCTATGTTCTGTTGAGTGAAAAGAAAATTTCTAGTGTTCAGTCCATTGTACCCACTCTTGAAATTGCCAATGCTCACCATAAGCCCTTGGTCATAATTGCTGAAGATGTTGATGGAGAAGCTCTGAGTATACTTGTTTTAAATAGGCTAAAAGTTGGTCTTCAGGTTGTGGCAGTCAAAGCTCCAGGTTTTGGTGACAATAGAAAGAACCAGCTTAAAGACATGGCTATTGCTACTGGTGGTGCAGTGTTTGGGGAAGAAGGATTGACTCTAAATCTTGAAGATGTTCAGCCTCACGATTTAGGAAAAGTTGGAGAGGTCATAGTGACCAAAGATGATGCCATGCTCTTAAAAGGAAAAGGTGACAAGGCTCAAATTGAAAAACGTATTCAAGAAATCATTGAGCAGTTAGATATCACAATTAGTGAATACGAAAAGGAAAAGCTGAGTGAACGTCTGGCAAAACTCTCAGATGGAGTAGCTGTGTTGAAGGTTGGTGGGACAAGTGATGTTGAAGTGAATGAAAAGAAAGACCGAGTTACAGATGCCCTCAATGCTACGCGTGCCGCTGTTGAAGAAGGCATTGTTCTGGGCGGGGGCTGTGCCCTGCTCTGCTGCATTCCAGCCCTGGACTCAATAACTCCAGCTAACGAAGATCAAAAAATTGGTATAGAAATTATTATTATTTTTTAAAGATTTTATTTATTTATTCATGAGAGACAGAGGAGGAGAGAGAGAGAGGGAGAGAGAGAGAGAGAGAAGCAGACTCCCAAGGAGGAGGGAGCCCGATGCGGGACTCGATCCCAGGACCCCGGGATCATGACCTGAGCCGAAGGCAGACGCTTAACCATCTGAGCCACCCAGGCGCCCTGGTATAGAAATTATTAAGAGAACACTCAAAATTCCTGCAATGACCATTGCTAAGAATGCAGGTGTTGAAGGATCACTGATAATTGAGAAAATTATGCAGTGTTCCTCAGAAGTTGGTTATGATGCTATGCTGGGAGATTTTGTGAATATGGTGGAAAAAGGAATCATTGATCCAACTAAGTTTGTAAGAACTGCTTTATCTCAGAACCCTGAGATCATGACCTGAGCCAAAGGCAGCCACTTAACCAACTGAGCCATCCAGGTGCCCCTTGAGATCATTCCTATATGAAGTTTTTTCTTCACCTCTCCGATAATTTCCTCCTTTCTGCTTTTCAACCTACCATAGTCAAAAATTCTACCTATCATACTAAATTACAGTGATCTCATTGACACATTTGTTTTCCTTACTTTAAAATTTCTCATTGTTAGGGTTCAGAAAAATTCATTTTGCATCCCTAGGGCTAGTCTGGGAATAGCACACAACTAATAAGTGTATGTTTTCATTCTCAGTGTTCTTTGCGATCACCAAAATAGATATAAGCTTCCTGAAAATCCCAATTAATTTGAGCATTATGACCATCCCTGATGCTATCTGCATTCATAAGCAGACACTAAAGAAAAACTTAAAACTAGTTAAGTTTCAAGAGGTTTAGTAAACTCCTTACCTGTACTGTAGGACTTCCCATGTTTCTTCCATGACCCTCTTGAAAACATTGCATATAGCAGATGGTGTGGTGGGAAAGCACTCGTGAATGACATACTTGCAGGGGGAAAAATGTTTGAAAATTCTGCTTAATTCGAAGGTTTGAGAATGATATTTCTTAACCAAAGTATCTTAAATACATAGAGTTTTATAGGAAGAAATAAAATTACTTACGTTTTAAAGTAATTACTTTCTAAACACTTACTACGACAGAGCCCACAGGAAAGATTACCTGGAAAGTACTCTATCAAAGAAGAGCAACAACCACTAGATGTCAGCACTTAAGAATTGTAACCCCGCCAATGTCTGATGTCAGTTTAATTTCTGGATTTCGGGATTATGACTTATGATAAAAGATACTTGGAAAACATGTAAAATGTTTGCTTGAAATAGATAAAATGACATGTTTAGAAAATAATAAACTCAATTATGTTGACAATTCTAACAAGAATAAAAATCTCATTTTAAAGTGACCATTTTGCAAATCCTGGAGGGAGGTCCACCAACTGGTACCTTGCCAAAACAGATCAGGACAGGATTCTACATGCAAGGATTCCCCACAGGCAATACCCTATTATCTCAAGAACTAAATGAAGTGGACTTTGAATCTATGTATCTGGGATCTTCAAATCATGACAAGATGTTCTTCTTCACAAAACCATACTAGTTATGGTCCTGCACATGCATTTCCTATGTTGCTTCTTGTCAACCATCCATCAACTTTCTTCCGTTTCTTTCTTTTTTTTAAAGTTTTATTTATTTAAGTAATCTTTACACCTGACATGGGGCTCAAAGTCACGACTCCGAGACCAAGAGGCTCACATTCCTTCCACTGAGCCAGCCGGGCACCCCAGTTTCTCCTTTTATATGTAAGCCACAGTTAAAAAAAAATAAATATAAGCCATGCAATCTCTAAATTCCCTTTGCTTTTGAAGCATATTCAACAAATCAAAATCAGTGTACTGATAGGCCCTTTAAATTACAAACCTTTGTTTATTCGTTTTGGTTTTTTCCTAGGAAAAAAAAATATCTCTGGCTGTTTCTGAAGAGCAAACAAAGTAAGACGCATTGAGAGCAAGGAGTATGGCGGGGCACCTGGGTGGCTCAGTCGGTAAGCATCTGCCTTAGGCTCAGGTCATGATCCGGGGTTCCTGAGATTGAGCCCCACATCAGGCTCTCTGCTCAGTGGGGAGCCTCTTTCTCCCTCTCCCTCTGCCTGCCACTCCCCCTGCTTGTGTTCTCTCTCTCTGTCAAATAAAGAAATAAAATCTTAAAAAAAAGAGCAAGGAGTATAGCAAAGGTGTGTCCACAGGGCGGGGTCTGTGAGCCTGTGGCTGAGAGTAATGCAAGTCTAATTAGCTGCTTAATGAACCATTATTAAGCTGTCTGGGGTTGAGTGAGGAATGTATACACTTGGCTCAGCTGACTGGCATCATTTTGATCACAATCTGAAATGAAACAAGAGAATTTGTTAGGCCATTAGATACTTTCATAGGTAGCCCCAGAAAGTTCTTCCATATTGAAATTCTGTTATATAGGAGACTAATTAAATGGCCCCTGTTTCTTGTACCATCTGCACTTAGTTTTAAGAAAGTGAAAATTGTTTTTATTCTTATTTAAAAATAAAAAACACGGTAAAACCACATCACAGAGTTAGCATTTCTATTCATGGTGCCTTATGACAGAGAAGTAAAATAAGGTACCAATATTACTTTCCCTTTCCCCCAACTTCAAAATTTTTGTTTGCATGCTCTGAGAATTTTGTCTTAAACTATTATAATTGAATTATTATACACTAAGATTCTCTTTCAATAAGATTTATATTATCCTTTCTATAATTGCCAGAGTTATTTAAACTTAATTCTGTGTTTAAGTGAGTTCTATGTGTATTGATAGTCTTTTCCTACATAACTTGATCATTTATTTTCATTTACATTTTAAAGATACAGAAAAAAGTCTCAAAGTACTTTTGTTTATTGGGGTGCCTGGCTGGTTCAGTTGGTAGAATGTGTGACTGAGTCTTGGGATCATAAGTTGTGTTCGGTATAGGGCTTACATTAAAATATATATATATATATACACACAAGTGCTTTTATTTATTTGTTTCAGTCAAAACTATACGGTGGGTCAGAATAGAGTTAGGGTTATCTCACATGGTCTTATTTTGCAGAGCTCATAATTTCTTTAATCTCTTTGGGAATCAAGGCAATCACATAAAATTTTGTTCTTCTGAAGCGTGCTTTTCATCTGTCATGTATATCTTCTACTTCATTTCTGTTCCAGCATTTCTGTACAGATCCCATGTGAGTGTTTCTTATTACCTGTCAAAAACAGTGTGATAGAATTATCTTAATACCTTTCCTTATTCATTTGGAGACCCTTTGAATCCTTACTTAGAATATGATGTGGGAGTTTCATTTTGATGCTATTATTTTATAATTAGTTCCCGAGTTGCCTAAGGGGGAGGGGGTGGGTGTAGAAAACCGTGGCTCTAGGTAGCCCACAGTATTAGGGCTTTATGTTAACAACTCTACCATTGTACACCGATGCCAAATTATGAAAAATATTCTCTTTCTTATTCAGTCGGATGTCCTTGGATGTTGGTTTATTCTGTAATTTAAGGGTGCATTACAGAATTTGGTAAAAAATCAGGTTAGCATGACACCTCGTAGTTTGTTATTTCCTTCTTTTCCTCCCTTCCTTCCCTTCCTTTCTTCCCTTTCTTTTGCAGATCAACTTATCCCTTTCTCCATCCAACTGGATGTTCATCTGCTGCAAATTTAGTTTCCAGTATAGAATCCCCTCTTACCCTTCAGAGCCCTCTCATCCTGATTAAGGAGACAGATTAGATGAATTTTTAAATGCTAGTGGCTACAGGTGTATTACAATTGACCCTCTGCAATGGAGAAATGGCTCTAGGAGGCTTGGTCTTTGCCTTTCTTACCGTCTCCCATGTTTTTAGTCTTACATCTTCAAAACGGTGGGTACCTGATTACCATAACTTACCTCTGAACACATTGTATGACCTCAAGTAGGGAATGCTTTGTTGATGCCATGGAAAAGCGTATACCAAACTCTTAACTCTGAGAATTCTACTTGTTAAATTATGGACCCTATCATGTTCTAATTTTGTTCAATAAACTTGTTTCATTTCCATAATTTTAAGATTAAAGTTTTTAGGGACGCCTGGGTGGCTCAGTCAGTTAAGCATCTGCCTTCAGCTCAGGTCATGATCTTGGGGTCCTGGGATCGAGCCCACATTAGGCTCCTTGCTCAGCGGGGAGTCTGCTTCTCCCTCTGCCTGCCACTCCCCCTGCTTGTGCTCTCTCTCTGACATATAAATAAATAAAATGTTTTTTAAAAAAAAGATTAAAGTTTTTAAAAATTAGTCAGCTTTAATTTTGCAGCAAATAAGATTTAGTACACTGGAAATTTAAACATGGAATGGCTACACATAAACAAGAAAATCATCTGTAGCAAAGTAGATAAATTTATGATTAAAGAAGTAGCAGTAATGAAATTTTTTTCCAAATGAAGATAAATACACTAGAGCAAGCACATGAACTGAGGAAGGGCACTAATTTTATTGAAATGTAATGAAAATTGTATTCAACATAATCTAAATATCAATTTGAAGAAAATATTGAAGGAAAAGGGGTCCAGAGCTACTTATGGAATTAACTGACTTACTTCAGAAATATTAAACATTTGAGGATGCTAGAAGTGCTTTTACATTTATAGAAGTGCTCCAACTGATTTTCCCAATTATCATGAAAACTATTCCAGCTCAGTAGGCCATAGCATCAACCACAAGCCCTTGAAACAACCTCCCAGGTGTTTCTATGAGACACTGATTATATTATAGATGCTCTCTCACACACGGATATTATAATTTGAACCAGAAAATTTCCTCACAATGCACTAATTATTATTCAAACCCCTTCTAACTCACCTGTTCATCTAAGTAGGGGGGCCTGTGTTCCAAGCCCTTTGGGAACCCTGTAGAAACCTGAGAGTCTATGGAATTTGAGTACCTCCATACCCCTCTGAACCAGCTGTTTATTTTATGGCTAACTGCCCCACGGACTTGTTTTGAAGATGAGCATCACTATAGCAAAGTGGGTGGTTAGATAAAAACAATGTTTTATGAATCAATATCATAGATAATATTTTAGTCCCAATCCTGCTTATTAGTTCTGTGAAACACAGCCCCAGTCATCTCATGTTCACGTCTTATTATCATCCAAACAACCATTTGGGATAGTCATACCATCCTCTACATCTCTGCCCAGTGTGGTTCTAGGAAGCAATGAGAATTTGCTGGAGCCTCTACCCACTATCAGGACTGGGTAAAGTCCATTCCTTTGACTAGCCCATGTGGCTCACGCTCTTCTTTGGTAAATACTGCAGGATTCTGTTCCTTGGCAGTGCCTTCTGGGCTACTGTTTTCACTATCATCCTGATGTTGGCAAACGTCTTTGCATCTCCAGCCACAATATTCTCCTGGTCTTTGTCGTATTGACCCCATAGTGGAAAACAGGTGATAAAGTGTTTGTTTGTTTGTTTGTTTTTAATGATACTCTTTTGGTCTCCAAATACAACTCTTACTATGAAATGATTCTTCATTCTACTGAAATGTCCCCTCCATGAGGGCAGGCACCAAATCATCCATATTTGTAGGATACTTCCTGGAACATGGTAAGTGCTCAATTATACTTGTTCAGTGAACGGTCTAAGTCCTCCAAGGATTGGCTAGAGAGTATATAAATGGCAACACTGATTTTAAACATATCCTTTCTGGTGGGTTTGTTTTTCAGACAAGATGGCATAGACTTCTCTCCTTGCTCCTGCTAAGTACAGCTATAAACCCTGAAGCAATCATAGGAGGACTCTGAAAGGTAAAAAGGGAAAGGCAGACTGGCTAGGGACCCAAGACTAGAGGAACACAGCGCGGCCAGATATCTAAATTATCCTCCTCACCCAGCAACAGAAAGCAACCCAGACCCCATGTCCCCTGAACCCCAACCTAGTGGCAGGAGATTGACCAGGTAGGCTCATTCCTCCCCTGATCAAATAGGAGTCCTGCAAATAACACCAGGCAGGCCAACTGGCACTGATAAGGGGGACAGAGCGGAAGTTCCTCTGTCTACAAGTGGCCCTGGGGAACTACTCTTCATCCCTGTGGGCTTCCCACCTAGAGGCACCAGTGGCTTGGCCTGGGGAAGTGGCTTTTATCCCCACAGGTGGCAACAGCACAGATCAGTGGGAACCCTAGTGGCACCAGGGGAGGCAAGCGGACCAAATTAACACAGCAAAGGCTCCAAAAATTAAATTGTCATTGGAACCACAGTCTACAAGTAGAATGTGACCTGCATGCTAAACTTAAACAGAGTGACTGCCTGCTAAAACAGAAGATGTATATAGGACCTAGAATTTCCAAACCAACAACCCAAGTGTCTAGTTTATAATAGAAAATCACCTGTCAGACCACAACTTGAATGAGAAAAGACAATGAAATGATACCAACACTGACATGAATCAGATTTTGGAATTATCTGACATGGATTATAGAGCAGCCACCAGAAAAATGATTCAACAAGCAAATATGAAGTCTCTTGAAACAAAGGAAAATGTAAAAAATCTCAGTAAAGAAACAGATGTTTAAAAAAAATGGAAAATAGAAAACTGAAAAAATACAATAACCAACATCAACAAATCACTAGATAGGCTCAATTGTATAATGAAGATGATATGATAGAAGCAGTAAACTTGAGAACAGATAAATAGAATTCACCAAATCTGAATGACAGAAAAATAAATAGACCATGAAAAAAATACCCTTTCCCTGATGATCAACAAGAACCTCTTTTACTATGCGGTGAATTGTTTCCCACCCTGATGCATTAAACCCCACTCCCGACCAGCTGGGTGGATTTCATCTCCCTTCTTTGTCCTAATTTCATTTTCACAGGGACCTAGTTGTCAGTCCCAAAGCTTTCTCCAAGGGTTCCTGGGACTCTAAGCAAAAAGGAAATTTTGTAACCTACTTCGAGGTTCACATTGGGTAGATTAACAACCAATGTCACTTTCTGCATCCTTCCATCTCCCAGCCAACAGATACTTCTAATGGTTCCTCAGATGAGATGGTATTGGGCTGCCTCATCAGGACTCAGAAGCACAGTCTCCTAGCTGGAATCTATCTATGACAATCCTTTGAACTCTAGAAGTTAGCTCTGTAAATTTGAAAAGTAAATGCTTGCATCTAAATATATAAACTTTTATTGAGCTATTATAAATTAGCTACTTATTATAGAAAGGGAAAAAATATACAAAAAGTAGTATAAAAGAAACATTTTTTTTTGGTACAAGTCGGAGTAAATTTTAACTTTTATCAATGAATCTTTAATCTTTGGTTTTCTTCGCTACCTTTAAGAAAAATATATATCATCTTTTTTTTAAAGATTTTTAATTTATTTACTTGAGAGAGAGAGAGAGAGGGAAGAGCACAAGCAGGAGTAGCAGCAGAGGGAGAAGCAGGCTCCCCACTAAGCAGGGAGCCTGACCCACAGGGCTCGATCCCAGGACCCTGGGATCATGACCTGAGGTGAAGGCAGACGATTACCGACTAAGTGACCCAGGCACCCCAGAAAAATATAAATCTTCTACTTATGGTATTTTGAAACTGCTCACAGTTATGCCTGCTGATTCAATTTGTGTGTTCTACTTTAGGAACCGTTTTGATATCTAAGCCTTACTTTAGCTGTTTCAACTGCTCTGTAACTAGGTTTTCAGAACTTAGGGGAAGTCTGTTGTTAACTAATTAGCTCTGGCTAATTACTTGCATATTCTAATTGCTCTAGCTATCTATCCCTGAATCCACCATAATCTCCTAGACCTGAATTCTTGGCACTTCTCTCACTTGTCAGATTTGGCTTCATTCTGTTTTGAAGCTTGCCGGCTAAACCCACTCCTTCCTGGCTCTCTTCAGACCAGGAGAAAAACAGGAAAACATGGACTCAAATGACAAATCACAAAATGTGACTCCTGCCACTTCCTTCCCCCAAATTCACAAGCTCTTACGGTTATTAAAAAATAAATTTTAACAAGTGCTTATAGTATTCCAGGCAAAGTAATGGTCTATTGAGAAAAGAGAACCGGTAGCAGCCACACCAAAGCATCTCCCCAGTTAAGCCTCTCTTCCCATCTGATTAACTGAGTTTTGTGTTCATATTACTTCGCGTATTATTTTTCCTGAGTTTAAATCCTAGCTTAAGGACCTACTTTCTGTGTGTCCATGAGTAAATTATTTAACAGCCCCCCAACCAAGTCTCAGTTTATCCATTTATAAAATGAGAATTATATTAGTACCTATATTATGATTCCATGGAAAGATCACCTATGTTGATCAGTAGTGCCTGGAACATAGTAAGCACTTGATAAATGTTGGCTATTGTCACTCTTCTTTATCATTGAATTAAATTGTTCCCATATCCTTTATTTTAAATTATAAATTTTGCGAGGTCAGCACAGTCTTAATCATCTCTGTATACCATTTTAGTAGGCTTTATCTGAAAGTGACTGACCCCTTTTCACAGTTTCTGTTGCCACCACTGACTCACCCTTTGGCAGACTTCTCCAACCAGAACTCTCTGCTACATGGCTACAAAAAAAACTGTCACAACAGCCTTCTAATTTGGTGGAAATCCCATACTTGCTTTATTATGATATCACCAAATATACCAGGAGGCAGTAGAAATATCCCTGGCTCTTTATTTCTCAAGACCCCATTCAGAGTCACAGAGGATTGGCAATGGAGCCTGGGCATCTGCATTTCTAAACATCACTATGTGACTTCTTGAACCATATATTAATTTCCATTGGATGATGTAGCATAATTAATTCACTTGATTAATCAAGATTCTATATGATTTTTTGAATCTCTTCAAGCAAGGTGAATTTTCAAGCAAGGTGAACCTGGTAGGAAATCTGTATGACATTATTTTATTTCTGTATATTTTCAGTGGGAGAGAGGGTATAGGCTAAAGGCAGTAGTCGGAGGTAAATGCTTCTCCCACATTTATTCTACCAGGCCAAGCATCCAGCCTCTGGAACTGAAGTTGACTAAATTTTACTTAGGTCCCCATTTTGTAGAAAAAGATGCCTTTCTTTATATTCATAAGTATTCTAAATATGTCCCAATATAAATGTACTAATACCCATATCTAACTTAAAACAATCTTCTAGAAACATGGCTGAAGGCTACTACTTGTCTCTGTTACTGCTCCCGGGGCTTGACAGTTGAAGTAGTGATTCTAAGTCAGTAGGTCATTCCAGGGTCTAGACTCGGTGAGAAGTATTAGGAGGCTTGAGTAGTTGTTGATCTAAGCCCTAGTTTTCAATCTAGCTTTTTTGTTTTAATCTCCACCTGTCTTGCTTCTCTGTATATTTCATAACTGGTTCAGACTGGGAAAAGGAAAATGGAGTATTATTTAGTGCCTTACCAAGTCATCTGAAACTGGTGACAAACCCAAGGCATAGCAAGGGAAGAAGAAAAATTAGTGTACAATAAGAAAGTAGAAAAGATAAACTAACAAATTAAAATTTAAAAAAGGAATTCTAAAAATAAAAAATAAAAACAACAAAATAAAATAACTTTTTTAAAAAAGAAACTGAAATAAGAAAAGCAAAATAAAAACAAAGGAAGAATATATTTTTAAAATAACTAAAAGTGATAAGAATGGCATTAACAATTGCTTTCAGTGCTATTCCTGACAGCCAATTGAAGACTAAAGTCTAGAATGTTGACCTCTTTGTAATACCGCCTTTATGTGCAGACAAAAAATTAGTAATTGACCACTGATTACACAGAAATGTAATTATAGATACAGATACTGGTCACGAAACAATTTTTTCATGAACAGAGGTAGGTTAACCAATGACTTTAATACCCACTACTCACTAAAAGAGAAAACTTTTATGTATTTTACAAATTTGGTATCATTTAGCTCATTGGTTCTTTTGAAAGTATCTCAGAAATCATGATTCAGGGAAATTTGAATTGAGGTCCAGGAATTTAAACTTCTATTAAGCTCTTCAGGCGATTTTGATGTGACCGATTTGTAGAACACCCTTTGAGAAACATGAAGTAAATAAATAGCCTCCTCTGAAGGGGCACCTGGGTGGCTCAGTCAGTTATGTTTCGAACTCTTGACTTCAGTTCAGGTCATGATCTCTGGGTCACGTGATTCAGCCCCGAGTCAGGCTCCAAGCTCAGAGTGGAGACTGCTTGTCTCTCTCCCTCTGCTCCTCTCCACCCCCCATCCCCGGCTCACTCTCTTTCAAATAAATA